AGCACCATAAAATGCCAAGTCCAGCTCTTGGCTGATCCCCTAGCTGTATATGCTAAAATATTTTTACTATCAGGCTTCGCTGAAGATCACAAACTTATGCAAAGAGAAAACAACTTTATCTGAAATGGAACTGCAAAGATTTGGACTAGGTAGGAAAGCAGGGTAACCAATACAGGAAGTGCGGCTCTGAAGTCTTTTTCCTTCTCTAACCCTAAGCCTCGCGTAGCCCTTTTGTTTGAAAAGAGGATGCATGCTTTAGTTACCAAGTAACACCTATGAGATCAAGTCATAGAAATAGCTTCCACAGCTGCCTTGTTGAAGAATTTCACTGTCCCAGGAGAACATTTCTGCAGGATGACAGACATGGTGGATAATGCCTTGTTTCAAACTGAGCCCTTAGTGAGAATATACCACCTTCTCTGTACAGCTGCTGATTAGTGCTGTTGTATAGCAGTGTCCAGGAAACAAAAAGCCAGATGCATGTTTAAAATAGTTAAAAAAGATTACCAGTTCAGAAACAAATTTCCTTGGTATTTTGCACTTGAAATAACACTGAGCAATGGTGAGCACTGTTGAGTTATTTCAGTCAGTTTGGGCTTCTATCCAGTACTTTTAAAAAAAACCCTCATAGCTAACATGCAGCATGATGGGATAGTCTTTGGCAAGGAACATCCAGGCAGTTAATTTAACTGTCACATCGGTGTCTTGTAATGGTACAGTTTTAGAGCCTGGCTCACCACGAGCAATGAGACACCACTCAGAAGGAAGGCCATTTCAGGACTTTGTTGAAGAACCCACTGAGCCTGGAGGCCTAACAAAGTCAGCCACAGTTGAAACAAGGTTTGCGAAACGGCCTGAAGTCCTTTTTATTTTTCTTGGCAAGCTTGAAAAATCTGTTAATGGAAATATCATTTCTGTAAAATGCTTTTAGACTTAAGACACTTGTAAGAGACAGCTTTTTCACAAAGGAACCAGAATGGGGAGGAATGGGACGAACTTCACTATTTGGGAAGTTAAGACATTTAGATGGAAGAGTGTGGCTGCATACTACTGAGGAGAAGCCAGAGATATAAATGGGAAGGGCAACTTTAAGACAGACCTATGAAAGGGTGTAGCAGTTTGTTTGTTAGAGTAAATACCTTTTCCTTTCACTAGCATTCAGTGACTAAGCATGGACTTGTAGCTTTGTATTTACTGTGGCCTTGCCTACTTGACACCTTTTTGAAAGGGTATTTTGCTGTTCATTGCCTTTAGCAATTCAAGAAGTTAGGGAACAGAGCAAAATTACCATATAACAGATGTCAAAACCAAGGAAATACTTTTCTGCTTTCTTAAAATCAAGATGTGGAACTTCTTGGTGCAGCAAACTGTAGAAGCTGCAAGTAAATAGCTAATCAATAAAGGGGATCAGACAAAACAAATAGAAACAAAATCCATCAGCAGCTCTTGCAGATATACAGCCTGCATTCCTGGAGGTCTACTAAAAAAACCCCAACAAACGCAAGCCAACAAGCAGTAACTGTGAGAAAATAAGATTGTGTAGACCATGGAAGGATCACTGTCTTCATGCCCTGTTTCTCTGAGCATCTCCTGCTAGCCACTGCCTGATGTCAGGCAGTGCTCCATGCACTGTGTGTCGTCCTGGAGGCACATGAAATGAGCAGAGCTTTGCGGGGTAAGGAAGGAGAACTGCCTTGTGGGACTGAGAACTGTGTTACAAAGACTCATGAGTAGCAACAGTCTCTGCTGTAACACTTAATGTTTGAGTGCTTAAGTATGTCAACTCTAATGCTTCTATGTTTTTTTATGATATATATTTAAAATAGAAAAGGGGAGGTGTCTGTGCAAATGTAGACTTATTTCTGAAATATAGTTAATAGAGATTATGGCCCAAATTTTGCAAGAATTAATAGTATTCCTTCCTCCCACTCATACTTTCCTCCCAGTTCTGCCTTGAAATTCAGCCTGCTGATCAATTGCAGACATTCTAATAGTCTAGATTACTTCTTGGCTTCGTTCCTTCAAGCATTTATGCTTTGTGAGCACCAAAAACTGTCAACAAAATACATGGAAGTTTCTAGGTTTGAAATGCATCATTAGTGATACTGTTTCTCTGACACCTCAAAAATCACTTTTACATCTTTTACTGTACATAACTATACTAGGATTTGCTTTGTAAGTCTCTTTAGTTTTTTTGTCTTTTGTATGCAAATTATTACAGAATAACCCAACTAATTAAAAGCCCAATTCCACTGTAGAAGTCAAGTGCTCATCTCACCTTCCTCCCCATCCACTCCCTCCCCCCCAACTTTTGGCTGCTGTTTGCTGTACTTCAGGAGCAAAAGTCCAGAGGCTCTATATCTAAACACTGCTCAGCACACACAGCAACAAACAACAAAATGAGTTCCAGTGAACACTGGTGAGCCATAAGCTTCCCAGTTATTCACCTGGGAAGCACAGGCTTTTAGCCAAGCACTTTGATACTTTGTTATAATACAAGAGCAGTCATTTCACAATGAAATCTTTGGTCAAGAATCTACAGAATCAAGCAAAACTACTTAAAAAAACAGATATAATTGCAGGTTGAAAAATACAATGTATTTAGTCTGGTGAGCAGTATCAGCTCAATAGATCTGAAGGTCTCTCTGGAGACCTGGATAGCACAAAGCATCAGTAATACAACCATCTCCTATGCTGTTTTTTTTTCTCAAAATGCCTGATCCTGGTCTGGGATTCTTGAACTGCTTCACACTTTGGATACCCAGCCGCCAGAAGATTAGCAGTGCCATTCAACTCCAAGCTTACAGAGGGGTTTCTGGCACTTGCAGAGTTTAGCCACAGCACATACCGTTACTAATCTCAGAAAGGTCAAACACTTCTCTGATAAAAGACTTTGGTCATTTACCAACCCCAGTAAAAAAAAAAAAGCACAATTGTGAGCTGCCATCTAAACTCTTGGATTGTTTGAATGTTCAGAGGTCCAGAAGGTCTGAAGGAAGCTGAAGGGTATTACCATTTAACACGAACAGTCTGTCTAGAAGACATTATAATTGTGCCTTTGCTCAAGAGGCATTTCAGAACATCAAAGCACAAAGTAAAGGTCATGCAGCACTACAGAATGAGGCATTCTGGTGCACAGTGTCAGCCACAGGGGGTACCTAGATCCTCCACATGCATTTCAGCTGACCTGCAAAGCTGTCTCAATACTCTAACTCCATGACCAGCACAGGAGAAGCACACTCCTGCTCTCTCTTTTCCATGCAAGTCAGAGCAAGTTTCCCAGAAAGGGACCAAACAATTTAATTTTTTTTTTAAACTAAATGCTTTTAATAGAAAACAAAATACAAAATAACTCTTTCCAGAAAGCAGAAATATTTAATCTCTCCAAGACAAACTAGGATAGCACAAAGCATCAGTAATACAACCATCTCCTATGCTGTTTTTTTTTCTCAAAATGCCTGATCCTGGTCTGGGATTCTTGAACTGCTTCACACTTTGGATACCCAGCCGCCAGAAGATTAGCAGTGCCATTCAACTCCAAGCTTACAGAGGGGTTTCTGGCACTTGCAGAGTTTAGCCACAGCACATACCGTTACTAATCTCAGAAAGGTCAAACACTTCTCTGATAAAAGACTTTGGTCATTTACCAACCCCAGTAAAAAAAAAAAAGCACAATTGTGAGCTGCCATCTAAACTCTTGGATTGTTTGAATGTTCAGAGGTCCAGAAGGTCTGAAGGAAGCTGAAGGGTATTACCATTTAACACGAACAGTCTGTCTAGAAGACATTATAATTGTGCCTTTGCTCAAGAGGCATTTCAGAACATCAAAGCACAAAGTAAAGGTCATGCAGCACTACAGAATGAGGCATTCTGGTGCACAGTGTCAGCCACAGGGGGTACCTAGATCCTCCACATGCATTTCAGCTGACCTGCAAAGCTGTCTCAATACTCTAACTCCATGACCAGCACAGGAGAAGCACACTCCTGCTCTCTCTTTTCCATGCAAGTCAGAGCAAGTTTCCCAGAAAGGGACCAAACAATTTAATTTTTTTTTTTAAACTAAATGCTTTTAATAGAAAACAAAATACAAAATAACTCTTTCCAGAAAGCAGAAATATTTAATCTCTCCAAATGACAAACTAGAACGTGCTTTTTCCACAGATCCTTGTTGTATATGCTGATGATTTATCTCACAAAGTGTTCATGAAACTGATATTGCAACATTTCGAGAGAAATCCAACACTGGCAGAGCTGCCTCTGTGTACGCACAATAATTTAGTAATACTATTTTTTCCCATGTCACTTTGTGTGTCTCTTCCTCCCTGTTCCCCTCTCCCTAGCCTGCCAACTTCCATTTACGGAAATATTTCTGTGAGGTGCAGTGCTGGATTGACATGCCCCATTTCCATTAGGAGTCCAAACTTAGCTGCTTCAGTCCTATTGTGCCTTCTCTCCAGAGAAGGCAAGTTGTTTATTACTCTTAAAGCCACTGCTCTACCCTCACTATCTTCCTACCCTCAAAACACAGTGCAACCAGATTCAGAAAGATTCCTAATTAATGGAACATAAATACAAGTATCACAGCTAGTACCAGGAACCAAACCCAAATGACCAAGCAGAGATGGGCCCCAACTGAGGTCAGATTTCCCTACTAAAAAGAAGGCTGGTACTTTCTACTTAGCTAGTCCAAAATATTCCAGAAGTGCTACAGGGAGCTGTAATATTTAGGACCATTATCACTGTAGAAAATACATAGTATTCTTTTAATAGAAGTCTTAAAATGCTGATCCTCTGCAATACCAGGAAAACAAAAGCAAAACAAAACAAAAAACACTTGGCAGTAGTTCTCCACACACTCAAGCCTCAGTTAACAGTAGGTAAGATGTGCCCATCAATCAATGCAGGACATTTACACGCAGGTCAGCAGCTTATCTGGTTGGCAGTTTCACTTGTCTGGACTAGGCTTTCAGATTCATCAAGCTACTGGATGTACATCCCCTTCCTCCATCCCTGCAGGATTAGAAGATATATGTATTTTCATTGCTCCTTTTTCTTGTTGCAGCAACAGCACAGACGTTTTTTGTGGGCAAGACATTTTAAAGCATTTGCATCACTCTGGACATGCCTTTCAAGGGGGCAGAGGAAGAAAAGTGTTTCACAGTCAGTAATCTCAGCTTGCAATGGACTCTGGCATTCAATACACCCACCCACTTCCCTAAGAAAAAAAACAAAAATTAATGTTCCTGATTTTCTTGTGCAATTCCAGTCACTAGAAGAAGATTACAGGCCATAAACTGTACGCTCAGTACATTATTCATTTGTCCGGTATATACACCAACCAGTTCACTGGAAGACCCATCTGCAGGGGCATTGCAGTAAGTGTTCCGAATGTCCCAGACCCGGACCGAATTGTCCATCGATGCCGAAGCAATTAAACTACTGTCGGGGCTAAAAGTAAGGCTGGTTATGTTGTCCGTGTGCCCCCTCAGTTCTTTGTAAAGAGTTCCTGATGCCAAGTCCCACAGCTTCAGCCGCTGGTCTTCACCTGCTGACGCCAGGTACTTACCGTTGGGAGAAAACGCAAGTGCTAGGACGGGGCCGCGGTGCCCGGTGAAGAGCCGCACCGAGTTGCCTTGTTGAGTGCTCCACAGGCGCACGGTTTTGTCCGTGGAGCCGGTCGCCAGGTAGTTGGAATTGGGGTGGAACTTGACGCAGTCGACGTCCGCCAAGTGGCCTGCGTATATTCGCAGCGGGTACGTCCGATCAAATGTCCAGAGCCTGGCAGTGCGATCGTGGGAACCACTGGCAAAGTACAGGCTGCAGGAGCTAATATCCAAATCCCAGACGGGATAGGCATGTCCTTGGTACAACACAGTGTTTGTAAAGCTTCCGAGGTCCCAGTATCTGATGGACATGTCCTCAGAACAAGATAAGAGTCCTGAACTATCTGAAAGGAACCTTGTGCTATACACAGGTCCACAGTGTCCTCTAAGGATCTTCATTTCTGTGCCTGCACTGTCGTCCTCTTCCTCCTGGTTGGGGAGGAGAAAATGAAACAAAAAAGGAATGCATGTTTATACGTTCAATTACAGGAATGACCATGAGGAAAACAGAGGGGTGTTAATACATGTTATTCTAGACATGGCACATTTTGTGCAGCTCTGTGACACAAACATTGCTACACAGTTGCTACATTTAAGTTAATGCAGAAAGATGTGGCAAGATAAGACTCTTTATGTAAAGGTCTTATCTTCATTTTGGGTAGCCTCATGCTCACTCCAGATGGCACCTTAACCTGGGACTGCACACAAACAGGGACAAAAAAAAATATTTTATGACATTTTTCCACTTGCTAAAAACATATGCTCATTCCCTATCCACTCTCTACTAAACTTTTGGTTAAGATGTTGACACAGATCTTGGCATCTCTTCTTCTGGTGTGGTTATTAGTGGAAGTGAATATCACAGTAGAGAAAAAGAAACACAGATGTCTTAAACAAAAGGCAGGAGATGGAAAGAGAAAACCTATTTGACAAGCTGTCTGCTGGACATTCCTTCTTAGCCTCACATGTGAACAGAAACACAGTAAGGCTGTAATACTTATTTCTCCATGCAAACTCTGTCAGAGTGCTTTCACATCCTTGCCCCTCAAGAACAGGAAATGTATGCAGCTTATTTAGGTCAAAGAATCTATTTTGGGGTAGGAGAAGATGAACAATCACAAAAAGGATGGCACTGTGAATGTTTTTATCCTGTAATTCTCCAGTTCAAGTATCAGGGCAGATAAGCGAATAACTAAAGGCTTTCACGTTTAAAGACTGTTCAGTGACTGTGCTAAAGGAATCTTCCAGTGGAGGGTAAGAATTTCTGAAAATCTACTTAAGTAGCACATGTAGCACTTCAACACTTGAAGGCTACAGATTGCAAAAGTTCCAACAGATCTCAGAGTGTGCCTACCCAAAAAGCTGGGGTTTCACTGAGAGACTGCAAGATAACCATGACTCCGGGGAGCACCTGTGTAGTAGCCCGAGACCACCCTTCCTTAGGGCTGTCAGGCAGACACTTTACCTTAATACTCAGTAATGCTCATTCACAGACAATCTCTGCACATTAAATTCAATACAATGTCCCTTTGTTTGCGAGCTGCTTCTTTGTCACCGCAAACTAGCCTGTTTCCGGCTGAAAGAAGCACTTACCACCACCACCACCCACCCCCCCACCTTTGCTTCTAGAGGAAACCCAGTTGCCCAGGGCTGCCAGACTGTTGACTGACCAGCAGAAGTTGTGTTGTGAGCAGCTCTCTTGGATGACACAGTATCTCCCATCCCTCTCAACTGAGGACTAACAGACAGTTTTGCTTCAGACGTAACAACAGTCCTGAAAGCCCTTCTCCTTCAGTGGTTCCAAATCTGACATCAGAGGTGAGCAAACTCTGATTTAGTTAGTTCATTGCCTTTCTCCATCTCAATGGCATGTTTAGTGGTAGGCAGCAAGCCATGTTTAGCAATGTTAATTCTCTTCAGAGTAGTCAGTGTCCACAGGAGTTTATGATGTGGCTGGGAGCCAACTTCATCTCTACTATGGAGGTGAAGCAGAGAGAAATTGCAGGCTCTAACATGAAAAGCCCCATTCTTATTCAAATTGCTTTTTCTACCTCAGATAGAGCATTGCTTGCTGGAATCCACAGCATCTCTAGGCTATGTTACCACATTAAAGGAGAGAGGCTGATACCTGCAGCATTTTATACTATTTAATTCTGACCATTAGATTCCTGACAAGTTACCAGTGGAAATCCATTCAAGCTATCTGTATTGTACTATGTTTTTTATAAATTCTGCAAGTCCGGGAACTTAATTTTATGCATTCAAATTCCTAGAGGGCTACTTGGGCTGCCTGCAAGCACACATTCTTTATCTTTACAAACACCTACTCTTCTCTCATATTACAGTAGCAGCTTATTTGAAAATGCCTGATGAAGTATTCAAAACTACACTTCAGTACAGTTGCAGGCAAGAAATCTTAGCTTTTACATCCACTTAACAACTGTGCACTATTGTTATAGCTCACTGAAAACAGTATTACCTATAATGCTTCTGAATCACTAAATTTTTTCCACTTCCTGCTTATTCAAGTTAGTCTGCTGACCAGATGAAAAACAACTGGAAATGCAGCCACTACATCACTGCCTTGCAGAACCAAGCTTAACTTCTTTGCCAGATAGAGCACACACTTTGCATCACACAGCTGCTACCACATATAGGGAACCATTTACAGCAAAGCAGCTCTAGAAAGGCTGTAACCTGTGTTTTAAATCAGCAGGGAGGAAGGGAATTCTTCTTACAAAGATTTTTTCAGGATTCCAGTTTCACACACTGATTAAGTTTCCTGGATATAACATACCACTGGGCACTACCTAAGTATCCATTAGCTCCTTCTGAAGCGGTTGCTGCTGCAAGTTAACATGAACTATTTGTATTTCCTTGGCACAAGCAACAAAGTCAGTCAGTTATATAAGCCTATTTTAGTCAACAACCTACACACACACTAAAAGCTACCTTTTATTATTTGTACTATCCATTTCAAAAAGAACTATCAAACCAATTTCACATAATATGCTAGAACTGAAAAACCTACTGGAAATGCTACTGAGTTAAAAAAAAACCCAAAAGCTCTTCAACAGGGTATCTTCCTTAGCAAGTGCAAGACTCCCAAAATTATAGCACTAAGAAACTGAAAATGATAAAAACATTGGGATGCTTTGTTACACTGAGAACTTCCAAATGATACACCTATGGAGAGACTGCTCAACTCCTCAGTTATTACTTACATCAGTAATGAATTTTGCATGACAGAAATCTGGACCCAGAAAAACGTACTGCTGATGCATTTAATCTTGTGAGCAGTAAACACTAACTACCTCACAAAAATCCACTCTGAATAAGCCTCAAGGGAATCAGCAAGACTCAAAAACCAACAATAACCTAAAAAAACCCCACCCAACAACACAAACCAAAAAAATCACCCCATCCCTTTTTTTCTAACCAGTAACAGGTTTCCCTGGGTGGCATCATCGGTCTCACCCTGCAGTGCTCCTAACAGATCAAGAGGACTGATCTCTTAGCTACCTACCTACAGTAGGGATCTGCTAGCAGAGAAAGATGAGGGAGTCTAGACCATGGCTCTCTCTGCAGGACTTTTCTTACAGCTCCTTCTAGTATTCCCTCCTATCTGCTTATCTACCAAGGTGTCAGACATCATCCCCACTCACTACCACTTGAAGGACCACTGGCACTCAACAGCAGGATCTTAGACACAGAGCTGAATGGGGTCAAGTCTTAGTCTTCACAGAATAAAAAGGCTGCTACTCTTGAGGTCTGGAACAGAGTATTATTTTCTGTTGTTCATTTATACAGCACCAGCTATGAACATGCCAAAATTGCATAGAGATAAACAATACATCCATTTGCCCAAAACCTGCATTTTTATACTGGACCTTAAGAGAGACTATAGAGTGGCATTTATAAGCTGCTAATATAAAGAAAATTTAATTACTTTAACCCAAAATAGTAAGCCTCTCCTATTCCAAAGAAGCAAGACGACACTGGTAAAAGGTACTGGGGCATCATACTGAGCAAAATTCACTAAAACTACACCTACTAGAAGACTTTGACCTTACTGACACAAAAACTTTATCTAGACTAGAAAAGAATAACATTGTCCAACACTTTGCCCAAGTCTCATTTTTACATAAATACACAAAAGAGGTAATAAATCAAATGCTCTAGTTGCAATGCCACCCTGGAGATCTACTGAAACTCACATTTTTAGACCTCTATGTCTTCATAAACAAAGGATTTATTTGCTTGCAGCACATCAGAAATCAGCTGAAGATTAATTACATCAGGCACTACTATTGAAACACAGAATGCAAAGCTAATTACACAAAACAGAAATCAACCAAAACAAAATTAAGAAACCTTACAAAACCTAGCCAAGTTTAACAGCCTCACAAGTTATTCCACAGAACTCACTGATGACAAAGCACATTGAGAATTTCTGTTCTTTGTCAAAGCTTTCATAAGATGTATTGCTGTAAATTGTTGCTGATCATATACTGCAGCGAGACTCTCAAACACAGCCCCTGTTCATACTGAGCTGCATTACCAACAGCTCCAGCCCAGCGAGAGTGGTCTTTTTTTTGGTCTGTTTTGGTATCTGTGGCTTCTACTCCTGTGGCACCTGAGCAGGTGTTAGTCTGTTCCCACCTGGAACCCCATGGGTGCCTGTGTATTTTCACAGAGAGCTGCCAGATAATGCAATTTATTTCCTTTGTAGACCACAGGCTTTCATTTGCATCTGTGAAACATAACCAGCACTGTGCTCAGGCTGGTATCCACCCCTTAATATTGAACTCCTGATCAGGTCACTATTTGTTTTGTTGGTAGTGAGGTCACTCAGGCAATGACAACTTTGATCTATGCTGGTCTTTGACCAGTTTTTGGTGTTAGACCTGTGCACAAATACTGTAGGATACACAAAATGTTAAATAGCCAACAAGAGCCATTTGTACTCAAGCTTCTACAGCCATTTCATACTATATCATATTACACGTATGATAAGACGTATATGCCTGCTTATATGCCGAAAAAAAAACCCTAATATACACTCCTGGTAACCTGGCAATATCTCACTTTTCTATAGTCTGGCCCAAAAAAGGTGACATGATGATTTAACAGAAAAATTCTTCTCTGCCACAGATTACTGACATTTGGTTTCCATGACAGGCAATACACACAGTCAGGTGTACTATGAACTCTTGCAAGCTTATAATGAAAACAAGTCCATAGCTCCATCTTGGGCTAGTCTGAGCCACTTACCTGCTCACTCTGCAGAAAGGGTTAACCTGGGAAGCATGTTGCAGTGCTATCTCACCTGGATGCCTGCCTCTAGTTCTCAAGCTGACTAACAAAGCAAACCCTAACCATAGATCCCTTTGTACAGCAAGCCCTCTGCACTCTTCTAAAATAAAAAGAACCCTGCCATTAGGTATTTTTTGTGAGAAGAAAAAACAGTGAAAAAAAGGATGTTTCTCCTGCTAAATACTCAACACAAGAACAAGAAAGGCTTTTTTTTTTTTTCCTCCTTCAAGAGGGGAGTGATTAAACAAAAGAAGAGTCACAAATTCTGATCTCTAACCAGATATAAGATGGTACGTGGGCAGCTGTGGCAGAGGGGGAAGGAAGGGCGTGACTAGAAGGCAAAAAAAAAGAGTAAACTAGAAGATGCTATCTAACCTGGCATGTGAAAGCACACGCATCCCTGTCTTTCCAGCACTCCAGCAGCTTAAAGCCTCTGAAGCTTTTAAACTGCAGACTCCTTAAAAGAGACACATTCTGCATAATTTTTCCATGCTAACTCTTCACCTCTGGTTAAGGTGATCCCTTAAATATAGTTTTGCACTTAGACATCCCTCCTTCTTCCTGAAGTCCTAGACCAGCCTCCTTTGGCTCCTTCCTTATTTTGTTCTTATTTTCCTCTTCCTGTATCTCTCTCCTTCCCTCCACTCTTCTGTTCTGAGCTGCTTTCCTTCTAGTTTTCATTCATGCCAGTGTGTTTTTACCACCCACAACTCCTTGTTTCATCTTCCCAACCATGCTTCTTAGGGAAAGGACCTTCTCCAGTCACCTGTCCTTACTGGGCTACTTGCACACTGTCATCTCTTCAAGGACAGTTGGAGGAGGCAGATCAGAACCTAGGACTAACAAACTATGACCTGAACACAAATTCATGGCACCTCAGTGGAGCATTTACAAGCAGTACAGGAAAGAGCAAGGACAAGAGCAGGCTATAAAATTTTTCATCAAGGCAGACAGGTTGTGGAACAGCCTCATGGTCCCTTAAAACATTACTAGATACTCCACAATGCATGCCCAAAATACCTCAGCAGAAAGAGTAAGTGGGGGGGGGGGTTAAAAAAAAGGGTATCCAGACCTCCTCATCCAGGATGTCACAAGCCAGGCGGATGCGGGACACATCAACGAGATGGGGCTCAGATTTTAACTTCCTGGAACGCAAGCTCCACAGCTTCACACATGAATTGTCGAACCCAGCAGCAAGCAGCTTGCTATTTGGTGAAATCTCCGCAGTGTTTAGCAGCTGCTCTGTGTTATAGAAGGCATAGAAACAGATGGTCGTTAAGGAAGGGGGCCCGTCCTTGACACGTTTAATGCTGTCCTGCAGTAAATCCAGCGCTGCCTCGTTCTGTAGAATGGAAGCTGGCACGTCGCTGGGTTCCAGGCCGTTGCTCTCGTTGCGCGAGGAGCTCCCACCAGCGTACAGCTGGTAGTCAGTCCTCTTGGCAGGTTGTACATCCAGGTGAATGTGCAAAGTCAGGACTTTGCACAGGGCGTTGTTGTTGTCACTTTGGAGGTAGCGAAGAAGGTAGTTGTAGCTGTCCTCTTGAAGGCGGATGACGTACTTGTTGTCCAGGAAAGCCCGGAGCTTCAAGTTGGACAGGATATCTTGAATAGTCATGGTTGTCTGCAACTGCTCAATGATATCCTTCTGGCTGGCATTCTGCAAGAACATGCCATGGAAGCGGCTGTAAAAACTGTCCACTGTGCTTTTTAGGCCATTCTGGACCATGTTCAGATGGAGGTAGACGAAGAGGGGATACAGAAGAGGCATCACTTCATGGCTGTGCTGAGAATCCGAATCTATATAAAAACAGTAACAAACTTGGAATGATTTCTTAATCCACTTTCTACTGAGAATAAAATACAGCAAGGACAATTACTGCAAAAAGCCTTGACTGTAGCATCAGAGAGCAAGCAAGAGCAGACTTTTGTTGGCACATCTTAGTGAACCTCTTCTGTCACCTTAAGGAGATACACAATACCTAGTACAGATCCAGAGAGATTTTCAAGTCAGTCAGAAAAATTGCAGAGATTTCAAAACTCTTTTTAGGTGCAGACCAGCTATTAAAATACCACCTCATACTACATGACAGCTGATTTTTTCCCTACTCGTTTAAAAAGAAAAACAACGCCCTGTGTTTATTGCAATAAATGGACTTTAAAATGTAGCCATTATATTTAAAATAGTATTGTTTAAGTCAAAATTGTTTGCTAACCTTGTATGGGCCTGAACTTCAGTGGCTTTTTTTCCTCTCAGCTTTAATAAAACTTGCATGTTGTGCTTGGGATTTGTCTCTGAGGGAAAGGAAGCTAGTTTCCAAAATGTATTGCAATATGCTGTGCTCTTGTTTTATTTCTGTGCCTGCCCATGTGCATGTTTTCTCTCCCTCTCTCTCTCTCTCCCGGTCTCTGCCAAGGCAAATCCCAGCAGTAATTCCTAGCACACAGTGTAACAAACTCCCGATTAGGCTGTGCTGTACCTTGCAGAGACTAATCTGTGCAACAGCTCCACCCCTCCTTTGCCAGCTTCTTGGGGCCGCTTCCCTCCCTCGTTCAGCCGGCTGCAGGGAGCTGCAAGGAGGGGAGCCCTGCTGCAGAACACTGTGGCAGCATACAGAGCTGCAACAATGAGTTACTGGAGGACGAAAAGATACACACTACTGGAACAACATATGCATTGCTGATCCTCAAGCAGTATTGCTTATTTTCAACTTGTTCTTCTGCCACTCAGCAATGCACAATCTCTTTTTCCCCTTTTTACCAGGTTATTTCTCCTCTTCTGTTGAAAACTGACTTTCTTTGGTCCATACTGTACCTCTCTTCCATTTCTATATGAATAACTACAGAGCATGTGTGTGGTGTGCAGTGCATACATATGAATTTACATACTTTAGCATTATTCTCCTTTCTGTCCCACTGAAACTGGGCCAAAGCCAGTGAAACCAGTGGTCTGTATGGCATAAAAGCTCTAAGCAGCCAGCAAGTGCTCTTTTCTCTCCACCTGCTCTAGTCGAGGAATGCAGCTATTGGAAGGACCTCACTCTGCAGTGGGGGAAAAAGGGAAGAGATGGTAGGTCAGCGGAAAACAGGAACGAAGCAAAATGTTCCCAAGGAACACATGAAAAGAGGTTATGAGAGCTGGGTCTGTCTAGCCTGGAGAAGAATATAGGAGTATCAAACTGCTACATTCCATACCCACATCACTGAGGAAAAGGAGCCAGTTTCTTCTCAGATATGCTCAGGAACAGGATAGCAGGCAAGCTGCTTCAAGGGAAATTCTCACCAAATTGCTCAGCCCTGCAGCTGGGGCCCAGAGACGTAGAGCCATCTCCACATTTTTTCGTTTTCAAAACCTGGCTGGACAAGGCTCTGAGCAACCTGATCAAATTTCAGTCTTGCCCTGCTTTAAGCAGCTGGTGGAGGTAGAGGACTCTAGAGCTATTCCTAAATTATTCAGTGGACCTAGTCCCCTGCCCACTACTCAGTGCCCCTGGGAGCAGGCATCACAGAATTGGCAAGTGTCCTGAGGTGCCTTGTGGCTGGCTGGCAAGTTACACACATGAGCTGCTTCTGTTTCTGCAAGGGAATAAGAAATCAAAACTGAGCGAGAGAGACAGAAAAGACTAAAACAGTCCATCTGAACACCAAAACCATGCCTAGCACTTCCTCAAGCAATATTTAAGCCACTGAACAGAGCGATCATACTTCTCAAAAATCTACTGAACAATAAAGATTTACCTCTGATACTAAAGTGCAATGGTGTTGAGCTGCTCTAGGTGGCAAGGCTAAGGCTTCAATATTTTCTGCCTCTGCTTGCCTCTCTCTTCTTCCCTTCAACTATTATCAGGAATATTAATCCTAGTGTTATGCACACTGGGATCAAATCCCTACACTGAATGAATGTATCAGTGCTCAAAGGCAGAGTGGCAACTGTCATATACCTCCAGTCCCAAAGACAGTACAGATAAAATCTAAGGCAACAAGGTCTCCCTTAAAAATCTAGATCATAAAAATAAGCCAGTTATGAATAAAATAAAAAACGCTAAACTAGGTGACAGCAGAGAACTACACTAATTTCTAAGTTACCTGCCTTTCACATGAAACACTCTAATCTTCCTTCTTGTCCTGTCTATGTATGCTGTTGTCTAGAAGATCTGCAAAGACCAAATGCTTGAAGAAGAAAGGGCAAACAGTCAGCGATCTACAAAAGCCAAAGGTACTCAGCACTCAGAAAGCAACAACAAAAAAGGAAAATTAAATATTTCTATTTGTAGTAACTGAAATCTCAAAACTAGAAAGCAAAAGACTGTTAGAGACATTATTTTAAATTTTATTACTCATTGAAATGACAAAAAACCAGCTATTTTCCTCTTCCTTGTGTCCTGATATTTACCTGTGAGAAAATTGCGTAATCGTCCAAATTGTACTTCATATTGCTGTGGCTCCGCCAGGCAGGGAGCTGCAGACACCACGTTGGCACAACCAGATTCAGATTGGACTATGAAATAAAATAAGTAAAAATTAAATAGGAACTTCAGGAGTTTTGCAAGTGCATCCAGAAACAAAGCTTGTCATAAAATCCAAGGTAACACGGCCACCGAGATGACACTTCAAAGCACCCAGGGATGACCCAATCCAAAACTTCTATATAAGCATAGCATTAACAAACCAGACAGATCATGAATGAGAAAATACCCTAAAAGCTTTAAAAGAAACCCCTAAAAGTCTCAGCTATTCACCTGCTCCCCTCAGAATACATATTTAAGTTTTCAAATACAACTTTAGATTCCCCAAGAAATTCAAAGTAACACCATCACAGATCCCTTAACAGTTTTACAACAGACTCAGTAGCTTTGCTACTTTGTACTCAGAAAAGATGACTAAGGAATTCATAACTTCCTCCAAAACAAAGTTTCTTTTTCAGTGGCATCCACCAATCATCATGGAGGTAGGTCTAGAGTGACACTACCTCAGAATCTCAAATTCCTTGTTCCACTCATCATCATTTACAATAAAAGATAATGACTATAATTTACTAGTCTCCTGGAGGTAGCAGTGAAACCACACTGAATCTCTAAGCAAACACTTAGTAGTTTTAAATCAAAATGTGTCCTACTCCCGGAGGATTTTAGGCTAAAGGGCAGCCGGTATCTGACCACAAATCCAGTTGTTATGGTCTCCTGAGATGGCATTAAACTGAATTTCAGAACCAGTGTTAACCCCAGTAAAAGTAGTTCTGAACTGTTCAGAGAGGGAACCGACTTCTCCTTTTGCACCAAACCTTTACTCTTCTGCTAACCTCTCAGAATCCAACAGGGGACTTTATGTAAATTTACAGACACGCACCAACACACCCTAAGGGTATATACAAATACCAGTGATTAAAAGCACAGGTTACAAAATTGTAACTAGTATGATTATTTGTTTCCTCTCTAAAAAGAGCATGAAAGGGTAGGGAGTCCTACTGTTTTCCTTTCCTGATTTTTTTTTTTTTTCCAATTCGTAACTATTTTCCCCTCCACTCTCCCTGTTAGCTCCCTCAACTTCTTTCAGTCTCCCCTGCCCCCCACTGCTTTCCATCCTCTCTCTTTGCCTTCTTCCTCCTGATTGATCACTTTTTGTTCCAGCATTTGGCTCATGCACAGAGGCACAACTCTGACAGCCCTGGAAGTCTATAAACAACATCATCAAATGTTCACATGCTAAAGAGAGATAGGCCAGCCTCCAGCTCATCTCAATGCTCCTAATTAGAAAGAGATCAGCACATGGTGTACAGGCAGCCTGTTGCTATTCTCCCCTCTCTCCCACTGGTAAGACACAGGTCTATTTTCCCAGAGCTTATGAAAATGGAGGAGGTATGTTAACTAGCTCTCAGGGGCAAGCTGAATTTGGCTTTGGAAACAGAGAGTTGGGCTGTGCTCATAGTCCCCTCATCAGAAAAAAATACATTCCAGCCCCAAGACCCGATCTGCTCTCAAATAATTTAGAAACAAAGAAATAAAACTTGCTGAAAGGTACAAAGATACTCTGCTTTCTACATCCTGCCTCCTTTAGAAACCTAAAGCTGGTAAGAACTCCAGGCTTACGGACTGGTATTACTTAACAGCTCAAGTAAAACATTCTACTATTCAGACTTAAAATATAATATAATCAATATTAAACACGAGAAAGTAAACTGCATGCATGCAGTAACTAAAAAATGCTTAGTGATGGTTTTCAATGTAATCTGTATTACACATCGTAAAAGCAAAGAAAAACAAATATGAGGGTTTGTCTTTCATTCTGTGTCACAGGGTTACATACAAG